AGCAATTTTCATGCCATACTCAATAATAACAAATAGAAAAACAAATACCCAGAAATAAATTTGCTTAATACATATAGGTTAAATACCCTTTTTGGTCCCTCTACTATAGCAAAAAGCCATTTTTTAGTCCCTATACCGAAAAAATCCCTTTTTTGGTCCTTACTGTTTGAAATCCGACCCTTTTTCAGTCCCTCCGTTAAATTTTTACTGATGTGGCAAGTTAACTAACAGAATCATTTGAATATTTTTTATACAAATAATATTATAAATGAGGTGGAAATTATGTGGATGCCACCTGTACAAATTAAAAATTTTACTTTTTAATTCATCAATTAAATGAATTTAAATAGAATTAATTTTAATTTTTTAATCGTTTTTGTCTTCTTTGTTAACATTGATAAATTTCTAAGCCTGAAGCACTGTGGGAAGAGTTGCAGATTACGCTGACCTTCTTTCTCCTCATGCTTGGCATCATACTCATCCTCACCAGCTGCTAGGCTCTTTGCAGGTTGGCGAACCTAGTTTGGGTTCTTCACGGAACGCTTTTGTTGGGTTCACAGAACCCAGTTGTTGGGTTCACAGAACCCAGTTGTTGGGTTAGTGGAACCCAGATCTGGATTCCGCGATGCTTGGTTCGCGGAACCCAGATCTGGGTTCCGCGAAGAACCCAGTTGCTGGGTTCGCGAAACCCAGATCTGGGTTCCGTGAGGAACCCAGTTGCTGGGTTCGCAGAACCCAGTTTCTGGGTTCCTTGATTGCTGGGTTCAAGGAACATTGCTGGGTTTGTAGAACCCGGTTTTTGGGTTCCTTGCTTGCTGGGTTCAAGGAACCCAGTTTCTGCTACATTGAGGCATTGAATCACTTTTTTCATTTGATCAATTGTTGGGTTAATTAATTGTTTTTAACAGGTACTTCCAAGAAGGAAGTTGAATAGGTTTTGTTGGTTCATGAGATGAGTTTTAGTTCTTTTGGTTGAACAAATGCATTACTCGTGGGTACGCAACGGTACGCAATGAACCCAGCTCCTGGGTTCGTCGCGAACCCACGAGCTGGGTTCATCGCGACGAACCCAATCTTTCTAATGGCTCAGAACATTCTAGCTTTGCTGATAGATTGCAATAACATTTTTTAGGACACCTGGAAAGATTGGAACAGCTTACCTTCAGGCACCTGGGTTCTTTTCTTTTCTTTACCTTCAGGTGAACCCAAGAGCTGGGTTCGTCCTGACCCAGGTATCTGGGTTCAACGCAAACCCGCAAGCTGGGTTCCTCGCGAACCCAGGCTCTTGGGTTCGCCTGGAGGTAAAAGGAAAAAAAGAAAAAAAAAGAAAGGCGGAGGACGTGGAGGGTGATGTGGCAGGTGTCATAAGTACACGTAAACATTTTTTACACATTGGCATATCCACATCAACTATTTCAGTTTAGTTAACGTGCCACGTAAGCAAAAATTAACGGAAGGACTAAAAAGGGGCCGGATTTGTTAACAGTAAGGACCAAAAATGGGATTTTTTCGGTATAGGGACTAAAAGGGAGCTTTTTGCTATAGTAGAGGGACCAAAAAGGATATTTAACCATACATATACCTGAGGCTTAGTAGCAATATGAACAACCGCACTAGTGATGATCTTAGCCAATATGGGCCATGAAATGCCAGCACCAAAGAAGATGATGAGTTAGCAAGTGAAAAGTGAGGAGAGATTTCATATTCCCTCACTTTCCAGAGATCAAAACATAGTCTATGGTCTGTGTGTGCGTTTAGTTCCAGAGACAAAGATGGATTCCGCAAATTGATGATGGTGAGAGAGCAGCGGTAGAGTCAACGATGGGCGGACGATGAAGGCCTCATTGCCGTCGGTGAGAGGAGAGAGTGCAGAGGAAATTCATTTCAAAATTGACATTC